CAGATATTTCTGAAGTCGCAGCTGTCGCCTCTGTAAATCGGTTTAGTCAATTTTGAAAGGTTTTAAACTATTTCTCTATACGGGAATTTTACAGTATTTATCTTCGAAGAACTCAAGCCTCCTCAGAGTTGTTTTGGTTGTCTTGGTTTGTTTGGATTTATTGGACATCAGTATTTCAACGCTACGCGTACAGAACTGCTGCAGCATTGCCTGCTCTCAAAAAAACACAAAAAACCCCACACAAATTAGCAGACGCGTAAAGAAAACTTACAAAAAAAAAGAATAAAGCAGGGAAGAGTAGCCTCTACATTTAGCATGTTATTTATTCAGCTGATCGTCTTCAGGGCGCTCGTCAGCTTATGAACACAAGATGTGGTATCATTTGCATGAGGTCTTACATCATCCCAGAGTGCCCGTTCACTGTGGCATCAGCACGTGGTGCTTAGCCAACATGTCCCTTTGTGCTCGCAGAAGCCTCATTCAAGTGACAGCGGGGCACCAGAAAAGTCTTGAAAAGGACATCTGGCCGTGGAAGTCAAAGGGATGTCCTTTAGGGATTCTCGGACATGTCTTTACAGCCTTTTAAGCTCGTCCTCCGAGAGAGACAGATACTGTCCATAGGTGAAAGCAATATTTGCATGAGCTTTCGGACAAAGAGATGGGTGTGCGGCACACAAAACCACAGCATCTCCCCAAACATGCCAGTCAGCCTTTCATTAAGCACAGGGAGGAGAAACAGCACTACTGTGACGAACAGATGGTCAAAATCACTGAGTTTTTTATGTGCAAGTAACATGACCTCAGCACTCCGGGTTTCACAAGTATCCTGTAGCAAATGCAGACACACACACAAGGACAAATGACAATCGTAGCCTACAGCTGAAAGATGTGAATGAAATCTCGACCTGCTGCGTCCATTCAGAGCCAGAGAAGATTTCGTTTAGGGTCATAAAGACTATGTGATACAACAGCATCACCAGTGGGCAACACCCAGACTCACACATTCAGGCAGAGACGGGGTGTGTGGATGTTGGGGGGGGGGAAACACTATCCCAGATCCATGCTTTTTATTGATTGGGGCTCTGGACTCCCAGCAGACCCCTTTTAATGGAGCCAGACGACCTCCTGGACGCTCATTGAAAGGCTGGTCCTCGTGTGGGTGCTTTTCTCCATCACAGCCTCGTTCTCACCCAATCCTCAGCGTTCTCCAAAGGGTGGGGATTGGGAGCAGACCCCCTGGGCCTACACTGTGGTCCTTCATAGATCACGCCATCATGCTCTCCTCCTCCTGCTGGTGCTGTTTTTTGTTGTTTTTCCCCCCTTTTCTCTAACCACGTCGTTGGCTGGAGTGGGGGATGTTTTAATCCTGGCCTCATACCAGGAGTTATCCTGTGAGTTCTCATCTGCAACACGTCCTTAGGGAACAAACCCCATCCTGATTGGCACCCAGAGAGCGCGTCTAGACAATGATTACACATGTAAATACACCTGCCGTATCAGTGTGACAGAGCCTTATCACGACACTGATATTGTTTCTATTCTCAGACCTGTTGTTTGGATATTTGTGATTATATTATTGTTCTGTTCTGTGTGTTATTAAAAGGCAGAAGGCATTCTCACTAGAGATGCAAAAATATTCATGCTGAAGAGTCACATGCCATGCTCAGCCTGTCACTTAAGACTGTTTATTTCATTACAGCTGCAGCCCAGTTGCGGTCTGGGAAAACACCATGAACGATGGAGAATAAGAGAACATTAATGGTTTGGGTTAAATGCAGAATAATCGCCACAGTGGGGAAACTATTAGACACATCAACAGACTTCGCTGAAATTTTACCCATCAGCTGTTTCTTGTATTTTCAAGTGCTGAACCTGAACTTGCCATGAACCCACAGGCCAAAGATCTGAATTATAAATTTTTTTTATATTTTATTGTGGAGTGGAAATAAAGCAGAAGAGCAAACATCCCCATAGTTCGCTTTGTCATTCAGGTAGCCTTACGCAACACATCCTCACTGTACAGCCCATATATGCACAGATGGTAAGGACAGCCTGAGTTAGACTGACACTCTGAGGAAGCTGAAAACATGGACATCAGTTGCTGCTCAGCACTGTGCAGCGATTCAGACACCAACAACTGACGCAACTTAAACAGCAACGTGCAACTTTGCAATAAAAATAATTATAAATCTAAACGCGTTTCCACTCATCTCATTGGCTTGTTTACTGTAGACATCTGTAAAAAAAAAATCTGCTTTCAGCCTCAATCGAATTAACTGAAGTTGCAGGTACTTTGCTGAACCTTGAGTGAAACATGAAACCTTCACAAAGGAGGGAGGAAACCGATCACGTGGGCTGTGATTTCAGTTTCAGGGTAATGATTTGATTTCTTATCGCTGCAGTTGGGATCTTTGTGCCGTGCCGAGCTCCAAGCGAGCCGTCGGCGTGGCTTCAGTCGAGGACATCTTGGGGAGTCGGCGCGGTTCTTTGTTCGCGGCGGCTCCGTGCTTTAAAAACAACACAAGGGGAAATGCTGTTCTCATGTTCCCCCCACTGCATAGGGTCTGCAACGCCTGTCTGACAACTCCCTCTCCTCACCCCCCAACAGACGCCCCCCACCCCCACCCCCCGCGCCTCCTATATAGCCTACATAACATCCTCATGCGCAACGGCGCCGGAGACAACAGCGCGGTGACCTGCCGCAAAGCACGGCTACACCGAGGTGGGCGGACCCCCTCCCCCCCCCCAAAAAAAGAAAAGAAAAATGCCACCAACTCCTTAAATTCATCTCAGATGCCGCCGCTTTTTCTAAAACCTCCTCATCATAAAGTTGACATCATCCGTTGAGCGCCATGTGCGCACTGTGCCCGCACCTTTTAATACGCAACTGTTTACATCCCGGCTGCCCGTCCTTACATAAGTGGCCAAACAAAAAATGCGGCTCTCGGGCTACACTGCGGCTCCGGAGCCGTACCTTTCCGCTCATGTGATAGCAGTGCGGGGATGTGAGGCAATGAGGAGCCGAGTCTCTTTCTTTCTGCTTTCTGCGTTGAGCTGCCACATGTTCGTGAACCTGAGACGGAATGGTACAACGGGAGGGCGGCTCGTTTTGTCTCGGCGAGGAGGGGAAGCTGTGTAAACCAGACTGGGTGGAGCAAAGCATCGCCCAGCCCCATCTGTGTGCAGACGGCCTTGTGTCCCGTTTGCCCGGAGCTCGGAGAGAGACTACTGTACCGAGAGTCTGGCGGATAGAGAGAGAGGGGGCCGGTCTATGGGAGGGGCTAGCGCAAAGGGGGGAATCGAGAGGAGGAGGGGGCGAGGAGGAGGAGGCGGCACGGGTGCTGTTTCTCCAGTCTCTTTCCCCTGTCTTTGTCTCACACACTCTTTTGTTAGCCATGCCTAGCCTGCTGGTTCTAGCAGGGATCATGGAGAAAAATGGGGGCTACGGCAGGGATCTGGCCGGCTCCGGCTTCGGAAGCGAGGGTCTCCTTGTGCCGCCCGACGAGGAGGAAGACGACTCCCGTGCCCTCAGGGTCGCGCTGGGCCAGCTGTCTCTGCTGGGGCTCGGGGAAGGCGAGGACGGCGGCGGAGCCCCAACAACAGGAGTACAGGACCGGAGCAACAATAACAACAACCACCACAACCACACGAACAGCGTCGGCGGCGGGGATACGGCGATTCTGCAAGGCAAGAGCAAGTTGTGCGCCCTGTACGAGAGCTCCTCAAGTGAGACGAAAGGACGAGGCTGCAACATAACAGAATGCGTCCCAGTGCCCAGCTCTGAACATGTGGCCGAGATAGTGGGGAGACAAGGTAAACCGCTGGCTCGCGGGTCATTTTCCCTCCAAACTTGAGCTTTTATCAGACAGCAGTGCATGCGCCCCGCCGTGCGTCCCCGTGTGCTTTGTTGTTTGTTCTCCAACTGTTACCTGGTGTTATTTGACAAAGAAAAGGGAGTGGTGTGTCTGTGTGTGTGTGCGTGTGTGTGTGTGTTTTTTCCCTACTCCCCCGAGACATCAGCCAGCCTCCCACTTTTCCTGCTTATATTGTTACAAGTTCTCGTGCACTCATGATTAGAGTCGGAAACGAGGCGTTTCGCAGCTTTAGCCTCGTTTTTCTGGACTAAATTTGCACGAGAGGGAGAGAGCAGGAGAGAGACCCGTTCCCTCCCGGGCGAATTATTCTACATCCACGCCATCAATGTCAGCGCACAGACACACACTGGAGCAGGGAGAGCACTTGCTTCCTTTGTCGTCTGAGACGCGCCAGACTGTTCAAAAAGGCAACGTGCGCCTGGTGTACACAAGAATGTCTCTCGGCGCGAGCCGATGGTCGGGAAAATCAGCGAAATTACACATCTGGCCTCAAAAATCGAGTGGATGTTTTTCCCCCCCTCTTCCTTTCTAAATTTATTCTGCTCGTTGTTTATGTTGCGCACTGCCCCAGTGACACAATTGGACAATAGAGCGAAGCGTGGTCACCCTTTTTGTTTTTTGAGGTTTTCTTTTTCCTCAGATGAGGGAGTTGGAAAGTTCAATTCCAGACACGTTGCAGGTTTTTTTTTCTTACAGTTGGAGGTTTTTTCTTGAACAAAGAGCTGAAGTTGAATGACAGCAGCTGTCAAACAAAGGTGTGAGTCGGGGGATGAGGGGAGGGGCGCATTAACACAGTGTTGCTGCTTGGCACACGGGATCGTCTTAAAGGGGTGACTCAGCGAGAAGTTGCACCCGAAGGTGGGAATCCTTCTTTGTTTTTTTTGGAGGGGGGAAAAAGCAGAATATTGATATTGTTTGTGGTTATTTGCAGTTGTGCGGTTGTTTGGTTGCATGCGTGCTTTTTTCATTGTGTAGTTGCAAACAAGCCTGAACTTAAGTTTAAAAAACAAAGGGAAAAAAAGGAGGGACCCTGGTGTTCGTATGGAGCACTCATTGGTAACTGCTGTGATGAACCCATGGGTGAGAGGGGCAGGGAAAAACAAGGATTGGGGGGTGGGGGGTACGGCGTCTGAAAGCTGAATGGGAGTCACGCCTTGGAGCTCGACACAAGGGACTCCTCATGAGCCCCACTTCACTGCACACTCTCAATGCCACATGGTTGTCTGTCAGGATAGGGGAGAAATCAGGGGGTTGGATGGAGAGAGGAGCACAATGACTGCAGGGTGGGTGAGGTCCCGTCAGCAAATCCCGATTTATCTGCCAACAAAAACAAACAGGAGTTGTGATAGCTCCTTTCACTGACACTCCCCTTTCTTGCTTCGCTGCTGTAGTAACGTGGCTTTAGTGTGTGCTGCTGAGCCCCCCCATCTCCCATGTCGGCTCCCATTCTTTACTCTGAAGTGTAAGTTTTGAATTTTAATGGGCTAACCGAAGACAGACAGAGGGTGGATCCAGTGTGCACAAGTGCAGCAAGAGGGCCCTTTAGCCTAGACCAGGAAGAAGTGCTGATTTGGGGTGGGGGGAATTTGAGATGAGCTGCTTTTGATCTGGGCCCTTCGTTAGCTGGCACTACACACACACCCCCTTCCGCTCAGAGCCCGTCTGGTGAATCTGGCAAACGAAGCATCCTGTCTTGGAGAAAGGGGTGGGTATGATTGTTTTCTCCTGTCAGAGGCGCGGGCTTTGATTCTCCACCTTACGCCGGAGCTCGTCAGATCACGGGTGGCTTTGTTTTGAATCGCACGTCGCTGCTAATGCAGCTGAAAATGACGTTTCTTCACAGTGACCTTAATTTCTGGGTGTGATTAATCGGCTTTTGCCTTCTTTGTTTACATACGTTTCTTCCATCGAGACATCAATTTCAGCGAATTAAAATTTAAAATCTAGTTTGAGAGAAAGAATTGTTCTTTTGAGCCTTTCGTGCCAGGAGCGGGTCTGTTAGGCCAACGCCGGGCGATGACCGCAGAGTGCGTGTTCAAATTTGGGGCACGGGGAACGTTATCACCACCCTTCTGCGTGTACCGGCGGTGCCAGTGCCCCTGAACAAAGTGGGTCAGTGTAGTAGCATTAGGGAGATACTCTGCTTCACCTTCAGGTGTCTTTAAACCTTTTGATACCTGCTGCTGTGATATTCAGCTGGTTATGACACGCTGCGAGCTCTGAAGCACCTGGACTCTGTTTTTAATACGATGTTGTCCAGAGAGCCACAGTGACACAAGGAAAGCACATTTAATGTGTCAATAAAGGAAGAAATCTTAATGAGGAAGCTGGCAGAGTTTGAATAGAAACCTGTGTGATGTTAATGAGGTGTAATCCAAACAGAACTGCTGTGTCTTCTCTTACCATTGTCTTCTTGACCTCAGGTGTTCCTGGCAATCCTCCTAAATAATTACTGATTTATTATATGCCCGTATCCTCCTCTGTCCCATTACATTGTCAGGTGATTCGTCCTGAAATGACATTAACCTGCACTCTTTCACGTTAAGAGTCTCCCTTAAAAGCATTTAACAGAGCAAACTATTCCACGCTGATCAGAAACAGGACCGATGCAGAGCAATAAGTGGCCCAAAAATGAAGCATATGTGGGTTGTCTGTATTGTCTGGAAACAAGTTCAAGGAGAGGTCAGAAAGTAATTGCTCACCAGTACAGTGAAAACACACGGCATCTGCCACAGCCGTGTCCAAGTTTTGTTTTAGTGCAAATAAAATGGTCCTCTCAATAAAGACACTAATGATTACGCCCTTGAACTCTCAGAAATCCTGGTAATTACTCAGCTTTTGCTTTGGCCTCCAAGACATTAGGTTAAAGTGGTCATAAGCAGCTCAAACGTCAGAATTTTCACTGGACAAAGCAGAGACGAGCATTTCTCTCAGCTCAGGCTGATCAAGCGTGTTCCTGGTTGTAACCCTTTTAACTTGATTTGTGTCCCCGATTTGAGCCGGCGTGTCTTTACTCATATTAAAATGTATGTTGGTGTCTCTGCAGGTTGCAAGATCAAAGCCTTGCGGGCCAAGACCAACACCTACATCAAAACCCCCGTCAGAGGAGAGGAACCTGTGTTCTTAATCACTGGGCGCAAGGAGGACGTTGCCCTGGCCCGTCGTGAAATCATCTCTGCTGCAGAGCACTTCTCCATGCTGCGGGCGTCCCGCAACAAGCTGGGAGTGTCTTTTAGCGGCTCCCCGCCCACACCTTTGCCAGGTCAGACCACCATTCAGGTGAGAGTGCCATACCGTGTTGTCGGGCTGGTGGTGGGGCCTAAAGGCTCCACCATAAAACGCATCCAGCAGCAGACCTGCACTTACATTGTCACTCCGAGTCGAGACCGCGACCCGGTCTTTGAGATCACGGGCTCCCCGAGTAACGCCGAGCGGGCCCGCGAGGAGATCGAAGCACATATCGCCTTTCGAACGGGAGGCCTGCACGACCACAACAACGAGAACGACTGTCTGGGCCCGAATGGTGGGAGCAGCCCGGCGGGCAGCAGCGGTGGTCTGGAGAGCCGGCTACAGCAGGTGTGGGGGCTGCAGGGGGGCCAGCGCAAGCCACTCACCAGCAGCTACCGCCAAAACTTCTCAGATGCCATGGTTGGAGGAGGGGGAGGAGGTAGCGAGGGAGGGGGGATCTACAACAAAGGCAACTTCTCCAGCTCTGGAGAGAAGCCCTGCTCTTATTTTGGATCTGACGGTACCCAGAGCTGGGGTGACCCCGACTACCCCAAACAGGTGGCCTTCTACGCCCAGCAGCGCTCCAAAAGCTTCGGAGGCCTCCCGCTGCCCCTAACCAGACTCTCCCCCGGCTTACCCGAGTCCTGCGGAGGCGGAACCACCAACAACTCTTCAGTCACCAGCATTGTGCCCATATCCGGCTCACCTCACGCCCAGGCCCGCCGCGCCCACAGCGAGCCCACCTCAGCCGGCGAAGGCTTTCCAGGCCGTCTGCCAGTGCCGGACTCGCCGCCGGCTACCGTGCGGGACTGCATGACCTGCTTTGAGAGCAAAGTGACGGCTGCCTTGGTGCCCTGTGGCCACAACCTCTTCTGCATGGAGTGCGCCATCCGAATCTGTGAGCTCAACCACCCGGAGTGCCCAGTGTGCCACACCCAGGTCACACAGGCCATCCGGATATTCTCTTAAGGAACCATGTCAGTTTTTATCATTAGTTTTGTCAGTGTTTGTTCAATAATTATTTACTGTTATTATGATTATTATTATAATACACATTTTGGTTTTTCAGAAAATTTAAAAACAATCAAGCAGATATTTTAGAAGGCACTGCTTGCTTTACTAAAAAGTATAAGAAATATTTTTAAGTTTTTCTTTTATATATATATATGCATATATATTTTATAAAAGTTTTGTTTATAAGAGAAGTATAGTACCTTGCATTTTCAGTTTTTTGACTGCTGCTGTTTTTCATTCATGAATCACAGCGAAGGCAGAGGTAGACAGTAATGTGAACATTTTATTATTCAAATTTTTTATTTTACCGTGAAGTGGGTTTATATTGAAGGAGGAAGATGATTGTTGAGGTACCCAGTCTGCACCTGACTAACCCAGAAACTCACTGTTGTTATTAGAAGGAAGAAAAAAAAGATTTTTCATTGCACCTTACAATCATCTTGGTCTAAAATAGGATTGTCAATCATACCTTGAAATTTCAGGAGCAGATGTGAAGGTGAATTCAGCCTCGAACTGTGATTGTGATTCGATATAATTGGTCCAAAATATTTTGGCAAAAATGATAATGTGAATAGATTGGTTCTAGTCAAAAGAAACAAAAAGCAGACTTTTATTTTATAGTCTTAGAAACCAGATAATCCTAAAAAAAAAGGGATAGCTCGTTACATGATTTATTTATACTAATTGGTAGAATTTTATCGGCGTCATTAATCACAGAGATGGATGAAGGCTGTACAAAGTATCAGTAAAAGTCTCTTTCCAGTAGCCATTGATTAAACTTTGGCCACTGCAGTTTGTTGAAAAGATTCAGTAACGCTTGCTCCTCGTGGCACTTGAAAAGCATGTGGTTCCTCGGTTGGCTTAAAGCACTGATTTAATTTGTGAGGCGGAAAGCCTTGGAATTCATCCAGTTGGCTGCTTCTCGATATCCGTCTCCCCGATGGACTTGTCTCAAAGCCACCTTAACCGCGCTTTATTGTTTTGCGGTGGTCATTTGGCCACAGTCGCCCAACAATGTAGGACAAAGCACGAGCTCCGGTCAACGAGCGTTTCGCTGTAAATAAGGAAGAGAATTAGCATGTGGACAGAAGCCGAGCAAAAATTGTAAAAGCGTCCCCTTAATCAGCAGCACATTAGAATAGTTGACACTGTAAAATACAGAGTCCCGAGTCAGTAATCCCCGCTCTTCGTGCCCTCCGCTAACAGCATTATGTGCGAGCTCTGAGGGGCCTGCTGTCTCCCCTGTAATTAGCAAAGCTGTACAGGAGCAGGTGTTTCATGACACACTGTGGCTGTGACCCCGAGTTCGAGGTCTCGCCTAGCCCCCTTTTCTTTCTCCCTTTTCTTTGGGAGTGGCTTTCATGTCTCCCCCTTCTTACAGTTCGATCGCTTGCTTTCGAAGGCGTCTCTCTGAGCGAGGTGTATTGTCTGGGCCCGGTAACAGCGTGGGCTGCAGAAAGCTCGGACACGGCCTGGATCCACTCATTCATAATTAGGCAAATGGGCTGGTCCAGGTGCGGACCGTGTGGCAGGGTCCCGCGGCAAGCCCTTTACCACCCCACCCCGATGTTAGCCAGCACAGAGGGGGCTGGACGGTCCGCGTGCAGCTGGGTGAAGAGGGCCCCCCTTCTTCCACTCCCCTTTGCCCATTCCGCCCCCCTTTTCCTCTCCGTTTCTGCTGCTCCGAGCCATCCCCAGTGAGGAAAAGGGGGGACTCTTTTGTCCCAAAACACACACACAAAATTTGAATGCTGAATCTGGCAGCGCCTTTGAAAGGCTAAGGAGAGAAATAAAAAATATCTACAGTTATCGGGAGACGCAACAGTAACACGTTTTTACTGTTGATGTGACACGATTTGAAAATGTTCACCTGGAAAACACAGATTTTACCCCCCACCCTTGCCTTCATTATCCAGCTGCAGCTCCCTGAATTTTGGATGGGGTCCTGTTTGTGTGACGGCACCAGTCCAAATCGAAATTTCCACAAAGCTCCCCCGCCCCCTTTACCTCTGGGCTCCCTCCCCATGTCAGCTCGCTACTGTATGGGACATCCTGCAACTGCCCCTTCACTATGGACACCGAGATTTCAGCCCCCCCTCACTTGTGTTAAGCTTCCAGAATGAAATCAGACAATTGTAATTGACAGAAAAGCAGAGGAAACGCCCCATTTAACTAGCACTCATGCTGAATCAAATTACACACCCTCTGCGTCTGCCTTAGCCCCAGCCTGGGGATTTTGGAGGGCTAGAGGAGAGCGGATGGGGGGTAGGGATTAAAGCTGTTGAATGATGGGGGTGGAGGGGTTTCATTTTGGTTGGAGAAGGAGAGAAGTAGGCTCCAAAAAAAACACGAGACCCTGCAGATCGTGCTGTTTTATCGATCGTTCGACTCTTTCAGCGAGCTGTTGTCACATGTGCGCCATGCGTAGTGACGACGGTGATTCAGCAGGCCTCTCTCAGATCGCACCGGAGAACAATTAAAACTCGGCTTCTGTCTCAAATAAAAAGAAAAAACCCGATTTAAAAATATCAAATTGTGTCTTCGGGCCACAGAAGGCCTTTCCTTTAAAAACAAACAAAGAACAACACACATGGCAGACCACTCGCATGAGGTGTGGACTGCAGGGAAAGCACTGTACTCGGGGGAAACCCTGAAATCTGTCAGACGTAGGAACAAAGAATAGTTAGGATTTTATGGATGGACAAGTTGCACAGTGGTTTGGCCTAAGCTTTCAACGTCACATTCAAAGCAGTATGACACTGTTCTTTGAACTTCGTATTCTGTTTTTTAAAAAAAAATGTTTTATTTTCTGCCTTAATATTTTTTATGAAATATTGCCATTACTTTGGCGTACAAGGTAGCAACTTTGGCCTTTGACTAGGGGTGTAATAATTCTGAGAGCGTCGCAGCTCCATCTTCCCATACTGTGATGCCCACGTGGAGCTGATAACGCCTAGTTTCGTTTTTTCTGATCCAATGGTCTCTAGCAAAAAGAAAGAAAAAAAAAAACACCCCCCTCCCTTCGTTTTTTGGCATCTGCCCTCGAACCGAACCGTGATTTTGGAGAATTGTTACACCCCTACATTTGATACTACTGCTACTCCCTAAAAAAACCTTTAAAGTACTTATTTTTGGAGAAAAAAAATAAGAATGTGAATCAAACTGCTTGGGTGGGGGATTAAAGGGATTCAGGAAATTAGGCTTTTTAAACACATTACATCAAATACAGAGTAAAGCACCTTATTACAAAACACGCGCATCTGATTAATACCAAACCGACCGCTGATGGTGAAATATATTTCATAGAATCTGAAAGACATGCACATAAGGATTCCCTATCATTTTTGTTCATTGTGTTATGGTGGTTCTTGTTATTCTTAATACTACAGTAGTACTTAGTGGCAATTTGGGAGACCTCTCATCCATTCAGTCAATGCTGTTGACTTTTGTTCCGAGTTTTGCACTGGTTTAATGAAGAGAGGGCTTATTGGAGATTCTCCCAGTTTAGACGCTGTACAACTTAATGAGTACTTTTAAATGGGAAGGCGCTCTGAGCATCTATGTAAATACAGTATGTGTATCAGTTACAAACATCCAAACAAAAGCCTGCTTCGAGTGAGCTTTGGATTATTTTTTACAAAGTGTCGATGTTTTAGCGTAAGGAATTCAAAACGTTTGAGTTTAGGGAGAGGAAATCTTTTATATATGCGTCCCATCGTCCCATTTACTATAATAGTATATTAGATAGATCCATACATACATGTAAGAATATTATTTAAACTTAGTATTTCATTCAAATATATAGATGAAAAGTTAACCAGACACTACGTTATTATGAAGTCGCTGATGTATAAATCCAATCTCCAATAAAAACTCAAATGAATAGTATGTGTATTAAGCTAACCCCTAATGAAGAAAGAAATCTGTATGTATATTAGGACGAAAAGCAATAATAGGACTATACTGGGACAATAAACGAGAGGAGCCGGCTCAGTTCTTTTAAAAAAATAAATAAAATTAGGATAATAACAGTAGATTCTGTCTTATATTTGCTTCAATCTCCTTATAGATTAATGTCAGTGTAGAAACACAGGCGTGATGAATTGGGGACAGCTTCGGGATAAGTAATTGCTCTTGTTGTGTTCATCATCAGGGTCATTTGTTATTTGGATAATCAATCAATCCTCAGAAGCACTGGAAACTGTAGATTCTGCAACGTGGAGGAAATCTCACTGTGTGTAAAAGTGACAAAAGCGTCCGAGCAGCACGAGCAGCACGAGGTCTGACCTGTTAGTGAAAGAGCAGCAGCTGCTGGCTGAACTTGGGACAGGCTCGTGTGTCGAGGGCTTTGGTCGCAAACAGAGCGAATGAACAAACGGCAGTGAGACGGGACACGCCGTCTACACGTTTAGATTTTTTACACTTGATGCTCTTTTTTAAAGTCTATACGGGGCAGGCGTATTACTCACAGCATATCCTGAGATGACTTTTGTTTACATTGTAATGAGTTCTGGCTCTGTTTGTTTTGCACCACCCGCTTTTCATTTGCATTATTTTTGAAAGGAGAAAAAAAAAGGGTCAGACATAGCCAAAGAACAAAAATACAAGGAGAGCTAACTTATCATTTAACTTATTTTAGAATAAGAGTTTACTAAATGAAGAATAATCTCTAGTTAGTTTACCCAAAAGCCCAATTAATCGATATCGGTGAAAACGAAGGCATATCGTGTTTCAGTGTCGTTGGATTAATACTACAGAGACACCACTAAGAGACTTACTTCTCCCCAAAGAGAGCAGCTTAAAGCACATCCTGGCACTTCCTCAGTCTTTTGTGTAGTTTTTCTATGAGTTTGGTTGTTGGGAAGAGGGAAAAAAAACCCAGTTCAGGGATTTTCTTAATCTTTCTGAAAAAAACGAAACAAAACTTCGCCAATCTTGTGACAAAAAGGTAAAAAAGAAAATTCAAGTAGATGGAAAGAATCGTGCGGACACTGACAAACCAGCAGAAATCCACAGCGTACGGGATTACGCGTTAGTTCAGAGAGCCATTCGCCGTATCCTAAAGTTTAACTGCATGCTAGTAAAAATATAGTACAATAGGTAAGATTTATCAGAAAGGAAAAGTTAAGATAAAGGACTCATCAGCCTGATACCTGGAGTGTATAAAAAGCTTTAAGACCTTAAAGTGAGCATTGGTTTAAAGTCGTATATTTACCGTGTAGTTTAACTAAGTGATACATAGTTTAATTATGATTCTTAAGATTATGCTAAAGTGTAAGTTTCATTTGTCCAGCTCACCCAGTATGAAAGACATTTTAGCCAAGCGGAGGTACAGAGGGGTGGGGGCGACTCCCGTGAGATTTGATTCATTAAGTTCTTGTTAGTATTATTTACAATATTGTATTAAGCTTACTATTATAGTAATGGTAGAAACTGTTGATGTTTTTCTTCTCTTGATATAAAAAAGGTCTTTATGCATTTATGTAGAATCCCTTTTAAGGAGTGATAGGAAATCCTTATTTTCAATGGATGCACTTAAACAGTTGTACCAACCTGTCTAAATCACACATTGAGCAAGCAATGCATTTGAATGTAAACGAAAACAACAACAAAAAAGGAACAAAAAAACCTTAATGCACTCCTTATCTTTTAGTCAATTTTGCAAGTGAGCTTTAAGTTTGTTTGTTTGTTTTTTGGACAGAATTTGCGACAGCTTTTTTTTCAACGTAGACTATATTTGAGTTCTTCCACATACATTTATAGAAAGTAACTTAAAATGAATAAAAAAAAACCTTTTTCCGTTTTTTCAATTTTTTTTTGTTACCTTGGTTTTTTTTTTCTTGGAAGGCGGGGGAAAAAAAAAGTCAGTATCTGGATGTTATTTATGAAAAGTAAAAAAAAAAAAAATGAAGCAACATATTTATGAGTAACCTCAAGACATTTTGTTTTTTAATTAAAATTACAAGAAGTTAATATATTTCTAAACACAGGGAAGTCAGTTTCTACTAATAAGTAAAAATGAGAAAAGATGTTTAGAAGTTTTATTTATGAAAGTTACGGGAATGCGTTTCGTCCGTTTGCTTCGTGGTGAATGACGTGAATGGAGCGAGAGTTCTCCGTAGCTTAAATTTTAACTTCAGACATGCACTCTTTCAACACCAGTGCATTCACAATGGAATAATTACAGAAAATAATATAATATTTTTTAGAATTTGGAGATATTTTAGTCACAGAGCATCAATTTTGTGCCTCAATTCTATATTTTTCCTGCATCAGCATTCTTTGTGTGGTGCTGCTTGCTGTAACCCCCCTTCTCCCCTCTTCAACTAACCCCATGTTACTGACTGAAACACATTACTCATTTCCTCTGTAATCTAAACTCGCTTTTACTTATCAAACGTTTAAAGAAAAAAGAAAAAAGAATAAAAAAACATGTTACAACTGCAGCGCTTGGGATGAATGAGCAGCTGTGACCCTCTCGCCAATAGGGCCACACATAACTTGTACACACTTTCATTCATACTTTTTCTACATCTGCTACTCAGACAGTTTGAGATCAACGACGAAGGAGCAAAGCTTTCTCTTATGGGTTAACTAGGTGAGGTTCAAGTGGCAGCATCTAGGAGGGGACAACAGTGCACTGTGTAGTAGATCTATGTAACTAGATGCACACATATACACACACACACGCAACAGATTCATTGCCGTGCTAGTTTGCATGTATGTTGTATGGTCACTTAGACGGGAGAAATGGTGCAGGCTTGACTAACACTTGGGCCATTTCTCCTCTGTAGATTTTCATAGTTGGAGCCTCTTTGGAAAGTGGAAAGTTGACTTGAGTTTGGAGCCAGACAAAGTCCATTTCAGTCCCCACGTCAACGTTCCGGGTTCCCCGTTTAGTGATGAAAGATTGCTTGCGACGCGCAGGAATTAACTCAAAGTTCTTGGTTTGTAAAAGACACGATACGGTTTTTAAAAACTTGGCAAAAATGATGCACGTTTTCTGCTGCATGTAAAGGTCGGGGACTGAAGTGGCGCTCGCTGGTGAAACTCGCAACCGTTTCCAGAGAGGCCGATGCAGTCTGACAGTTTGTCTTTGGTAGCGTTTCCAATTTTTCCAGCACAGTAGAAGTGTTTCATACCGGTCTAATAGTGGTTGTAGTGCATTAGTTTTTGGGCCAGCATCAGCTGGCAATAGTTTCTGGTTTCTCTGTGAACAGTGAAGGAGGGCTGCCACTGCGGCCCTCTGTGGCTGACCGTCAACTTTGATGGATGGGAAAATAAAAAAAAATAAAATAATAATAAAGAAGTCTTTGAACTCTGTTACAGTGTGCCATGCCCTACAAGGCA